TTTTAACTTTCTATCTCTAGGTTCTACAAAAAATCTAAAACATTATTAGAGCATCTTTCAGCTTCCTCCAAGATAGGACATGGCATCGATTCGAGAATGACCTTGAAACTCTGGTCTGGGTGCTCTCCAGAGACGGGTGCTCGATGCTGGCCATCGTCGTGGTATTTTTCTAGAGCCTATAGAAGCAGTATTATAGAATTAATTGAATTTTAGAATTTGTTTCGTTTGCTATAACGATGAAGGAAAGACTAAATGTTATCGAAGTTTTGTGAAGTCAGCTAACTCTCTAAATGCTAATGTAATTTATTGTTTAGCCTATTCCTTCCCTTATAATGACAAAGATATTATCTGTTATTAATATGCAGTGTTGTGCTTCATCTAATAAAATCATCATCATCATCAACAGCCTATACGGGTAATAGTCCACTGCTGGACATAGGCCTTTCCTTAGAAAGGAGGTTTTGGCCTACTATACCACACTGGCCAGAGGGGTTGGTATAGGGTTTGTTTCAAGTTTTCCTTCTCTTTGAAGTGCTGTTGTCCTGCGCAGTTTGTTCCCTTAGTCGGCTCTTACGACACCCACGGGATGAATTGGGGTGGTGACATTCCGTATTCTTAATCCGTCACCACACGGATAAAATAAAATAATGATTTGTTAAAAATTACGTTCCTAAACACAGACATTTTGATCTGGTGGTTGGCGATGCTGATAAGTCTGAGGTCGTAGCTTAGATTCCCACTCGGGATAAATAATGCGTGATTAGAAAGATCATTTGCTCTGTGTCTGTATGTAATATATCTAAAAAAATACGTATTTAGAAATATGTGAAATAAAATTTTTGAAATATATGTGCACGGGCGCTAGGCTAACCCCTATTTCATAAATGGGATCAAAATTAGTCGCCAATGGTGTGTTTGATACTCCTTAGTCCAGCCCTTCGTGGACATAGGTCTACACCTATACCTAGGTCTACCCTTACTGAACACCCCATGTTCATGTGAAAAAAAAAAAAAAAAAGGTCTACCCTTACTCTATAGCTAGATGAAGTTCTGATCGAGGAAAGGAGGAGAGGAGAGCGAGAGGGGTATTCAGTCAATAAAACATCAGTATTAATTTTTTGTTTGGACAATCATTTTAGAGATAGCCACTGAGAACTCGTAACCCTTGCATGTACAACTAGGACTTATGATGGATAGACGTATCTAATTAATATGACTTATTAAAACTACCTCACTAGAATTAACCTTAACTGTGATGACGTACCTACTTACAAACTATGACAAGGCACCAGGTAGAAAGCTCCTGTCGCCTTGTAGCCAGGGGTGTCTGATGGTAGTGGCGGGAGGCTACCCCGTACAGTAGAAACTGCCCCACTTGACCCCGAATATCCCTCAGTCGCCTCTTACGACTTGCCCGGGAAGAGAAGCAGCTGGCACCTTCTATGTTTTTCTTTCGTTCCCGGCCCAGCACGGAAACAACGGTAATCGGTCTCCTCATCGTCGCATGTTTCAAAGAGTTATAAGAAAGAGAGAAATAATGAAATTACAATTTGACTTATTTTTTTATCCAACGGAGAATCGTCCTTCTCATGATATTTAATAAGACTCATTTAACCGTGAAAACGCCTCATGAGCTAGGATAAGCTCTCCGTTAGACTAGAAACAAGTCTAGAAATTGTGTACAAAATATGTGTTCTGATTGAAGAGTATGTTTTTAGATTAAACAAACGTAAATTGATTTCATTAAAATTAATACAAAACGGTAAGAGGCTTTGGCTTACCATACCACGCTGACCAGACGGGTTGGTATAGGGTTTGTTTCAAGTTTTCCTTCTCTTTGCAGTGCTTTTGTCCTGCTTAGTTCGCTCCCTCAGTCGCCTCGTACGACACCCGCGGGAAGAATAGGGGTGGTGACACTCTGTATTCTTAATCCGTCACCACACGGATAAATAGTGGCCAATACAAAGCTGCCTTTAGACCAAGCCTACTGGTTAGTCATTGCTTCGGTCCATAAGCATCAAGATTGCGCAAGGTGCAAACTATCCTTTTTAGTTTTGGAGGGTGTTGAACTCACAAGGACTGCAACACACTTGTATCTTTTTGTAGCCGGTGTCCACGGGCGGCATTAGTCACTTATTAGCAGGTGAAAAGAAAAAAATTCCTCATCAAGTTTTGAATAAACTGGATAATACCAGCCTGATAGTGTTGATGCTTACGTTAAGGCTAACTCATACAATGTTTCCAAAATCTTTAAAATAATAAAATAAAATCCTGTGTTCTTAATAATAATCAAAACTTAAAATAACTTTCCCTTCCCAATTCATTGCGAATGTTCTTTTGAGTTATTTTATATCTCTTGTTATTTGAGCACAGATATACCATACCCAAACATACCATATATTCCCATCCAATTTAAACCGCTTTATTGGATGGAAACAAACACTTGATTATGTATAAACAATCATGATCTTATCCAAACACATTTTAAAGTAAGACCTGTGCCTATAACAAGAGAATAAAAACCCCAATATACAATACCGCAGTTATAATAAACAGGAAATTGACGTAATGATGGCATTGGCTGATTACATAATCAAGGTCAACATGTGCCTGCATTCTAGGTGAGGAATCGAAAAACTCAAGCACCTTATCAATCTAAAAGCAATTGGTTAATTTAAAACTCAATAATAAAAATGTATGATACAATTGTGCGTATTTACAGTGCTGTCCGTTTCACGCACAATACAAATATTACTCCATTCATACACTGGAACTAGTCCATTCAATATCCACACATGAGGCATACAAATTACATGGGAGATAAGAGTACCTGAATGTTATGGACAAAGCAACTAACCCATAACAGATAAATTAGGTGTATGAGCCAACCATGTAAGAGTTTATAATTACTTAAAGTAGTCAAAACACGTCTTCACGATATTCATTGAAATACGGACTCTTCTACAGAGAACGCTAGATGGAAATAAATATAAACGTGGAAGCTAATATGAGCTGAACAAACTTGAGTCCTTGGAACCACTTCAATTAACCCAGAAAACGTGTTCGACCCCGTTCTTAAACATTACAGATTCCATCGTCAATAGAACATTTGACTACGTCAATTTTACCGACATTAACCACAGATTTGAAATATGAGTCAAAAAAACTACTGCAACAAGTATCAGTTTTCCATAAGCGCAATCAATTAACAACAACTATGTACGACTGTTGGCATTTACCAGTGAATACTCCCATAACTGTTTTCTCATAATGGAATTTTGGAATACAATTATATTGCATAGAGGTATACGACTCTGATCTGCTCGAACTTTTTTCTTTCCCCAATCCACGCGTGACAGCAATATCCCTTTCCCGTCTTACAAACTTTTCCTGTCATATTAAATTCACAACTCTCCCTAATTCCTGAAGTACCCGGTGGACGGTAAGTACTGAAGTTGACGATTAGAAGTTTACGTAAGCAGCTATCTACGTAAACTTAAAATCGCCAACTCTCGTATCTAGCTGGAATGGCATCACTGCAGCAGTCATTCAACTTAAAATTCAAACCCGTGGTTAGGCAACAATTTTTATTGCATAATTTAAAAAAACTTGGAAGGTACAAATAAATTATTCTGCTCAAGTTGGTCCACCGCAGAATTAAAAGCAAACACAAGTGACATCATGTCATCCTATCACCTACAGGGGGTCGAGTTAGCCAAATCGATTTAGGATTTGGCCTACTCACTAGGATACACTATATCAGCAGAGTGGCTAACTGCAAGGTCCTACCCGGAGAGAGTCTCACTGCGCAACACATCTCCTTGTCATGAACCTTTGTGTGAAGCCCAAAGACAAACCTGATTCGGCGCTGGCATCGCTTGATTAAACCAGGCCAGGTTGGGTGGAACCTGTTCAGGATTACTGGAACAAGATTCAGGCGTGTGTACTTTGAGCCGATGCTTGGTGTGCTTAAGGGTAGACGCAAGTGTGTCCAGGAAACTTGGTGGTGGATCGACACAGTTCAGTGGTCACTACAGTTCGCTTGATGAATTGGAAAGCTGTCAGAGCTTACGGAGTCCACATCGAGGAACGGATAGATCGAGGGGTCCTTGGCGACGCGTCCTCGCGGTGTCGGCATCTTATCGAACCATTCTAACCATGGCACTGCAGTCGGAAGGGTTCCAGGAACTTACATTAACATCATCCGGGACATGTACCGCGAGTCCGTTTCGACCGCTATTGGTAACACGTAACCCTTCCCCATCACCGTCGGGGTTTGCCAAGGATCAGTCCTCAGTCCATCTCTTGTCAGACAGCATCAGCATCAGCAGCGGTCTACATGAGCACCGTCTTTGTCATGTATGCTGACGATATCGCGCTTGGACATGGACAAAGGAAGATTGGTCCGACTTGTGAAGATGTAGAAGGGGACGCTTGAAAACGGCGGTCTGAACGTTGGATGTGTAAGGATCGTGTAAGAAACTCATCCATCGCATCCCCGGTAGCCTTCATGTCCGTGACATTGCGCATAAGTCACATAAGTGTCGCCTCCACTGGGCCCCGGTAGGTGGGTATACCCAAGAAGTGCTGGCTAGACCTCGCAAGTGATGACATGCGTGACAATAGCCAATCCATCGTGCGAGTTGGAGGAAAAAGAGCAGAGAAACTGACCTCGGGCGTGGTCGGATGCAACTAATTATGACCACTCCGGACGATGATGATGATACAGTAGTGTCATGTCATGCCTGCTTTAGTTACATTCCTGGTGTGACTATAACCGAAAGAGGATAAATTCTCCGGACTCTACGATGTGGTACCAAATTTTAAACTACGGTCCACAGCAAATCATCCGGTAAATCGTGAGACTTAGATAATTCAAGTCCGACATACTATACGACTTCATCGTTGTCCGAAAAAGTTTTAGCTTGAAGGGCTTCCAGTCGAAAACCATAAAATTATTATTAAATTGAAAACAATCTTATGAACCTCTCAACACTAGCTTATTCAGTGACTGTAATCGTGAGTTGCCTGCTCCGGTTGTTCTCGAAGCAATCCATGGTTTTGATGTCCATTATCATTGAGATGGTAACGCCAAGGAATATCAGCGTGACGAAGGTTGCCAACAAACCGGACCTGAGAACGAGGCAGAGAATTAAAATCCAGTATTGTAAACACAAAAAAAAAGGAAGAGAGATTATTTGAGTGAATGAAATCTTACCAGATGGGCACAGTAGTAAATCCAATACAGTCAAACGCATCATCAAATGCTTCCGTACTATCCATAAACATTTGCACCTGAAACAAGAAGAAGAATGTTCAGTCAAATAATGTGTGGTTAAGACTCAACATGCCAAAGCAGAAACAACTTGTGAAAAATGCTGGATTGTGTTGACTTACGTGTATATTAGGTAACGTCAATGTAGCTTCATCAGACGAGTACACTAGTGGCAGAGAGCAACGGTACGAACGACCCAGTACTGCTGATGGTGCGTCAGATGGAGGTGGCGCAGTAAGACTAAGCCCTGTCGTTTCCAAGTTAAATTTAACTTCAACACCCACTGCCGTCCACCAGCCAGCTGACTGCTTGAAACTAAATTCCAAGGTGATCTAAAAAATTAGGAATATGTGTTAATGAATAAAATTCCAAACACTACTTTTCTACAGTTTCGTGCAATATCTTCGTGGAAATACACCTACCTTGTCTTTGGGATCTTTGCTCTCTGTATTGACAAATCGCACGACCAGCATTGTGTAAAGTCTAGTTGGTTTGATGGTTGGTGAACCGACAGGTGTGCTCAAACGTATGGTAGTTCCATTAATGCGTCGAAGTTCTGGCCAACCCGATGAATACAGGAGCGCTTTTCCAGCAGGGCCTGAATAAAAAAATAAAAATAATCTCTCCTTGTTTCATACATAGTATATCATCACCGTATTTGCACAAATTATGAGACTTACCTGTTGCATTGTACAGCGCATGTCTCTGTCTTTTTTGAGGTTTGTCCTCATCCGGAGTACTAATGGAGTCATTAGTGAACGCTTGTCGTCGTACTCTCGACCAAGGTTCACCGTCCAAGTAATCTACGGACTGGCTCTGGGATACTGAGTTACCTACAAATCGTATAAAAATCCTTGTATAATTCAAAATTTCAACTGCAAATTATATCACCTCTATCTTCGCTCCCTAATCCTCCCTCCCCTTAGTGAATGAAGCCGCAGAGAAACATACACTGATTGTGGATACTGGATTGTGTTGACATACCTAATATACCTAGGACCTTGCCGGCTCCATAGATGTCCTGTAACCGGGCGAAAGTCTCCGTCATCTGTGCATCACGCTCTGACCATGGACCTTCGAGAGTAAGTACCTGATGACAAAAAAGAGGAAACTAACTTTAAAAAGAAAGACTATGTATAGGAAGAAGAAAAAGAGGATTAGACTTAGAAGCAGTTCGGCTGGTCTGGTGTGCTAATGGTGGGGGTAAATCCTTTGTAAAATAATGTCGTTATATTTTAACACTGCCGACCAATGGATATTGTTATTTAAGTAATTTTATCACTAATCATTTATTTGCATTTAAAATCATTGCTCCATCACGATTGTCAATTACTTGTCTTAAAAGTGTCAAATGGGTTTTCGGGTCACCTGATGGTTGTGACTGCCGCCGCTCGTGGACACTTGCAACTCAAACGTCATAAGTGCCTAAGCCTCTGAGTATCCCCCCCCCCCCCTCCCAGTGGGGGATACAGTCACTTGATGAAATACAACCAAGATTCCGGCCTGTGGTGTTCCTCCATTCGAACAAGCTCGTATGGCCTAAGCATGGCTTTTCTACGGGTGAAAATTAAACTGTAATTAAAAACCTCGTTTATTTTCACCACTCACACTTTTTTGGGTGAATGTTTCAATGACCGTATATAAGAGTGCTTGTGCCAGGAAGATTGTTGGCTGTAAAAAAGACGTGTAGACGGGTCACCTGATATTAAGTAAGAACCTCCGCCCTTGGATGATTGTGTGGAGCATAGCTGTACCATTGACGGGAAATTGACAAATAACCATAGAAAGGGTCACATTTACTTGTTCCTTTCAAGGTAGAGGATTAAACGAGCAGACGGGTCACCAGATCATAAGTGATTACTTCCGTCCATGGACACTCAAGAGTCACAAGAGTCTCCCGTTGAGCCCCTTTCCCCGGAATCGGCGGGTTGTGGGCTCCGGTAACCTGCTCGATCGATGAAATGCAACTAAAGAATTGCTTGACAGTATCCGTGCTGGCCCATTAAAGCAGCTTTAGTGGCAGCTAAAGAGCCACAAGCGAGTAGTGGTAGTGATAAGAAGGAGGGGGTAAGGGGGGAAGACAAGAAGAGAGAGGGGAGGTTTTTTTCATGAGGCGGTGGAGGTGGTGGAATCACTTTGTTAGAGCTGGCCCATTGTGCCGATCCGGTTCTTCTACTGCAGCTCAAGAGTCACAAGTGGGCGCCCCACCTTTCAGACTTGAATTGTAAGGGGTAGGGGGGGGGAAGCGAAGGGGAGGTTCGGCCTCCTATAAAAATCACTTACTAAATGAAATGCATTTAAAGTGTTGCTAAACAGCGTTATACCGTGAGTTCTTAACACGCCGATAGATCTGGCCCTTGTGCCGATGCATCATTTTCCCACTGCAGATCGAGAGCCTCAAAACAATGCCCGCCCTTCAGAATTGAATGTTAAGGCACAGGGCGTCGGTTGTCGGCGGGGGAGGTTTGGCCTCCTATAAGCCTCGCTCACTAATAGACAACGAAAGAATTGCTAAACAGCGTTTTCCCGTAAGGAATAACTCCGTACGAGCCGTCCCATTGCATACCGATATGCATAGCTCACCCACTGCAGACAAGTCACAAAATAGTGTAGGGGAGAAGGGAGGGGGGGTACTCTTCTGATAAATCTCACACCCTCGATGACTTGCAACAAACATATATCTATACAGCGTTTTTCATATTTCCCGAACAATGTTTGTTTAGAAAAACTAGAGATCCTCTCGTAGTCGATTTCGTTGGCCAGTATAACTTGATCTGTCATTTTATAGACTTTCGTACCCGACTGGCCAATAACATACATACTGGACGCAAGTAGCGTAATAAAGATATTTACACTTAATTATTAAATTTAACCAACTTTAAAAAAGGATGAGGTTCACAATTCACATTATCTTGAACTATTTATCACTTGTTAAACAAATAGTCACCCACTTTCCCTTATTAGCCTCCATTACCTATGTAACATCACCACTAGGTCTGCTAATTTTCTTCCTCTACCATCAAAAAAATTTACACCTTCTCTTCTATCTCCTTTGCGTTTTCTTGCGGAAATTTCCTGAGGATACCACCCACCGGGGGGGGGGCGGTTATGTCGGACTCGAACCGACCAAAAACCGCACGCCGTCTCGGGTACCAACCCAAAAGAACAACACCAAACTGAATTTAAAAATAAACACCTATTTCGACCTGTAAATGTAATAGTAACATCCACTTACCTGAGTCTCATTGCTGATGTAATCTGGATGAACGTCAAGAAAGTCTTGAGGCAGGACCAGTGTTGTTTGACCTTCGAGCATTTTGCGCAAACGTGGAAAATACAGGCTGGACAATGGCACCGAGTCCTGATTGTTGAAGACAACTATGGCCTCTGCCTCACCATAGATGCGCATCAAATCATCTTGATCTAAATACGTCAGCGCCGGCCTCTTGTACTTCTCCAAGGACTTCGAACCAAAAAATAAAAATGGCCCTTCAAGATTGGCTTGAACTGAATATAAAAATAAAAGGATGAATCGCACTTTGTAATGCATGTTGTCGGCTTTATGGATCGTCCATGGTTACGGCTGTCCGAAGACTCCGGATGATTATATATGGCCCGGACGGGTGTGAAGGGTGAAGGGGCTGTATTGATTTGCCCGCCACGCATGCGTACTCAGAAGAAAGCGTCATAAAAGCGCCTCCTCACGGCCACACGATTGGTAGGGTGCTGAGAAATTGGATCATGAAATTTACAACTTTTGTAAGTTAGGAATGCCAATCCATGAGATAGGACCATGATAGGACAAATCGTGCCGACTGATTGGCAGTGATATAGGGTTGTGAGCGAGGGACTTAAACTAGGGGTCCGTGTTCTAGAATGTTCTTCTAGGGTACCTATATAAACTAGATTGATGTGTATGCATTTTGTCGATCAGCGTCCTTCCGTATGCATCGTTAAGAACAAAGGAAATTGCGTTTTGATTTATGTAATGAATAAATGACATATTTAGGCCATATTACTGATTGTTAGGGTTGTGTTTATTCTATAATCCCTTTTTATTATTTTTTTCCTCTAAACTACCAATTTTCACAGTAGGTACAACAAATACTATTTCTAAGTTATAAAAATGATAATAATAACGGCTGAATCAAGGGTCTGATGCAGAATGCAGTTCTCCTTGACGCGGCCCGTGCCTACAGTGAGGAGGTTCCTGTCTTTGGAATCCTAACCACCGGTGTCTTGGTCCCTGTACCCGATTTCGGTGATCTACTATTATAGAATGTTTTTTTTTTCTTTTGTGTAATCAATATGTATTTTAAAAATAATAATAATAATATTTGGAACATCTGACACAAAACGCCATTTAGTTGCAAACTGAGCAGAGCTTGTACTATGAAAACTAGATTGACTGATAGAATATTAATGTGTGTTCAAAACGTAATGTCTTATATTTCCTCCCAACTGAAGTAAATGTTTACAAATCCCCCGTAGCTTTATGTTATTACACCATCATGACATCACAACTTTGCCATGCAAGACTTGTTGAACGCACAAACTTGACCTTGGTTCTGACCTTTTGGCAACATGCCTGAACCTCCAGCATCGCAGCTGTAAATACAAACTTTATCTTTATAATGTAGGTACTCCAAAAACCTTTCCAAGTTAGTTATAAGAGGAACCTACGCATAATATCTGATAGACAAGAGTACACAGAATGTTTTTTTTCGAAGACGCGTATTTCGATTGTTCTGAATAAAAAACAGTTTTATAACAAATAATAAATTTATTTTGTCATATTTACAAATTAATCTAAATGTTACTATCTATAGGAATAAATGCGAAACAGAACAGATGCACAAAGCGCAATGAGTCCAACCACAGCCTCCGGTCGTAGATCACTCGCTCCATTCCCGGAGAAGAAGTACGTGTTCTCTGGAGAAGAAAAAACTTATTATAATGTTCTGTTATGTTATTCTTAAGTCATCCTTTTCTTACAAGCAATAATAATAGCTTAACACATCTCACACTCGGCCGTCTTAAACCAAACTAGGCAAAGCCTGTACTATAGGAACCAGACTACTGAAAAATATATTGATAAATTACAGACACAGATCGAGCTCATTAAATAATTGTTTGTCCTGGATGGGAATCAAACCCGCGACCAATGGCTTACCAGTCAGGGTCACATAAGCCCGGCAAATTGTCATCATTGTGAAAAATGCAATTTCTTATTCAAAGGCATAATTACACCAATTTATTTCCTAAGTATTTTTTTCGTAGCATCATCTTCTTTCAAAATGGCCAACCTGTTTTACGATAGATAGTAAATTAGTTATTTAGACACAAATAAGAAATGTATTTGTATTACTGTGCTGCACTATTGTTTACTAGTCTCACATTTCTAGTGTTCTCGTGAACTCCTCAAGCCAAGCTAATAAACGGTTGTGGTAGAAATGGGCTCTCGGTCAAACCGTCGAACCTGCCACCACGTCATTTCAAGACCAACACCCTAGCCGCATGCCCTAATCTTAATTGTGTATTACAACAAAATATGTTATTAAAACCAAATAATTAGAAATATTTGTATCGTGGGTTCTTTATTCGCAAGCAGGGCGCGGCGGCGTACCGATCAATACAGCCTCCGTAGCCTGGATCTAGAATTCTACATACAATGTAACTATAACCTATAGAGCTATTAAAGTTTCCTGGAAAATTTAAGGGTGGTGGGTGGTGAAGCATCGCCATATACCACCCACTTTTTCCGCTACTGGTATAAGTGAGACAGAGAGGTCCGATAATGTGTCTAAGGTAGGAAAAGGATAGAGATACCTCCACCTGTCTGTGTAGACAGGGTGTTTATTTACTGAGTGCAAGGGGATGGTTCGGTTGATGCAGTTATGATATGCTTTATATCGTCAGTGTCGTATTGCAGATATATTGATTTTCCTCCGCCAGCATTTAGGGTGTGGTCGTTGAAATTGCGTTTCATTTATTTGATTTTATTAGAGCAGTAATAAATTTGAAATAAATGAAATCATTTGGAACTTGTCACTAACTGAGATTTCCTAATCTATAAAATACATACTCGTAATGTACGTAAATTTCAGTTCATTAAGTTATCGTTTTAGCAAGCATAACATATAATTTTTCTTTAATACGCACAAAGAAAATTTGATGGGGTCGATCCGAACTTGGAAAATAGGTGAAGTTCAAGGCCGGCGAATAAATTACTTGTTCGTGCGATCAGTAACGTGAGGGGACCTTACCATGTGGTTATGGTATTTGGACCTCAGAACAGTTATTCACTGTTCTGTGAGATGGACTAACTATAGATCGGAGCTTAAATCTGAGTTGAATTAAGTATTGTTTTAAATAATTCCTGTTTGTTTTAGTTGCAAAAGTAATCATTTATGAAGGGTTAATATCTTTAATAATATTTCTGGTTGTATTTCTTTAAATTTCCTTATCTAAAAAACATTTCCAACAGACCTATCATCATCATCAACAGCCTATAACAACTCCACTCCTGGACATATGCCTCTCTTTAGAAAGGACGTTTTGGCCTACTATACCACGCTGGCCAGACGGGTTGATATAGGATTTGTTTCAAGTTTTTCTTCTTTTGCAGTGCTGTTGTCCTGCGTAGTTTGCTCCCTTAGTCGGCTCTTACGACACCCACGGGATGAATAGCGGTGGTGACATTCCGTATTCTTAATCCGTCACCACACGGATTATAGAACTAACTATTCAAAACAACAAAATGAGGGATTAAATTAAAGTTGTTTTAATGTTATATGTGTGACTGGTAAAAGTCAATACTTACTCTTCTCCTCGTTGGGGTCTGTGACCCCACAGTGCCGATACGATATCGTCTTCTTACGTTTGGTGTTCACAAATCCTGGGATGAGTATACTCGGCGAGTCCAGACGTCCTGATGCCAATAACCTACAAACAGGAGAATTTTATATTTAACCCCTGAGGGCAGTTGGTGGAACATACGAGTGTCCTATCAGCCACCATTTGACGGCTGTGCTGGTTGGGTAGGTTAGGTTATTTAATTTTTGACATCAAATTTTGACTATTTAGTTAACTATTTTATGATTGTTTACTTGATTTTATGACATGGTTAATTTTAATCTTAATTAATTAAGTAATGTAATAATCTATTCAATTATTTTTATTTATTTTTTTATTTTTAAGTAAATTGTAATTGATGATATGATGTAATAATTTATTGTTTTTGTATATGGAACAAGTTTTCTGAAATAAATTATATTATTATTATTATACGTTAGTCTGCGGCGGCCTTTTTACCCAGACCTCCATATCTTAACCCATGACTCAACATCGGTGGTCGCAAGTGCGATCTTATCTGCAGCATTATGGTCTACCTGGTGAAATCCAACTCGAGCCTGTTGGCCTGTGGCCCAGTGAAGTGCAGCAGCAACTGCACGCAGGTCCCCCCGTGGAGAGTGCGCGTGCGACGCGCGTCCACGCTCAGCATCCACTCGGGCACGCCCATCACGCGACGTATTTCCTCCAGGAACATACCGCTAAAACAGTTATATCCATAGTTAGTAAAACAAAGTAAAAGAGTCCATATCTCTGATACTTAATAAGTAAATAATAGAAGATAATAAGTTATCGATCGTTGGAGGAACGGCACTCAAAGTGTTGTAAGGCACGTGTGTCTCCTGAGTTGCAGGTGACCAGGGGCGGCGGCTGTCACTTACCATCAGGTGATAAGCCTACTCGTCCACTGTACCATAAAATAAAATAAACAGCTTTCAGACAGAGCCCCTTTGAGCGTTTACAGTTTACCTTAAAGATAATCTGTCGCTAATAAATACGTGTCACATCAACAGCCTTGAATAATCCACTACCGGATATAGGCCTCTTCTTAGAAAGGAGGTTTTGACCTACTATACCACGCTGGCCAGACGGGTTCCTTATATTTGCCGCTGTTGTCCTGCGTAGTTTGTCCCCTTAGTCGGCTTTTAAGACACCCAGGGGATGAATAGGGGTGGTGACACTCCGTATTCTTATTCCGTCACCACAATAAATACATGTACATTAGTATAATAAAAGTAATAAATTAGAGTATACTCACATCACAAACCTCGGAGGCTTCATAATATTAACGTACTTAATAATGTCCTTGTCAGGCTCTATGTTGGCACAAGCGAACCTCTCGGAACTCCTGTCGGGTCCGAAGATGACGATGGACCGTCCGAGGGCACTAACCTTCCCCTCCAGAGGGAAATTACTGTCTATGAACATCTGACGCTCAGCGCCGACACCTGGGTAATGTTAAAGTTTAATACTGTAATCATTTGTTTATTAAAAAAGAAGCAATTTTTAAAGATACCAATGTCGATGGAAATTCACATAAGACTCTTGAACTAGTAAACGTTTAAAGCCATGCGCGGGTAACACGTCTCGCTTCTTTCTTCAGTTCAGTTATTAGATTTTTAACGAGTTATAATGCCGGAAGACATTACTTCCATGTAACTGTTGGTTTACACAACTCACGCCTGTAAAGCTACCAATCTGCTTGAGTTTTTACAACATTTTCAATGACCATAATCCTATTTTGAGAATTTTTACAAAAGTTTAACTATCCACCAAAACCTTTTTCAAGAATGATTATATCCATTAGTGAAAACTGTGTGCTGTATTTACAAACTCATAAGATCTATCAAGTTTCCTCAGACAAGTAAAAAGTAAATCGCGATGAGCCATACATACACATTTATTTAATAACTAGCTTTTGCCCGCGGCTCCGCTCGCGTAAATGTCGGTTATCGCGGTAAAAAGTAGCATTTGTCTTTCCTCAAGAATCAAAGTATCTAAATACCAAATTTCATCTAAAACGGTTCAGCGGTTATTGATTCGTCATACACTCTTCCACCCCTTTTCAACCCCTTAAAGGATACTTTCTGGGATAAAAACTACCCTATGTCCTTTTCCGAGACTCGAACTATCTCTATACCGACTTTCATCTAAATCGATTCAGCGGTTTAAGGTTTAACAAATAATGAGATTTTTTGAAATCTGTTTGTTGTTTTTTTTTTAATTTACTTTTATACAAACCTTGTCCTGACAATAACGAACACAAAAAAAAAACAATTATTCAATTTAGTGCAGTCGTTCAGAACTTACACACGTACTACATTTCGGCGATTCATTTTTGTTTATATAGATATATAGACCAATCGAAAACATTACAACCATTTTTACATTAAAAACCTGAGATTTTAATAGTTTGTAGATAGTTTCCGTTTAAGTGTAGTGACGGAATAAGAATACGGAATGTCACTACTCCAATTCATCCCGTGGGTGTCGTAAGAGCCAACTAAGGGCGCAAAACAATGCACTGAATGCACTGAAGGAAAACTTGACACAAACCCTATACCAACCCGTCTGGCCAGCGTGGTATAGTAGGCCAAAACCTCCTTTCTAAGGAGAGGCCTATGTCCAGCAGTGGACTATTAAAGGCTGTTGTTGTTGTTGTTGTTGTTCCGTTTAACGTCTAGATATTTCTACATTAATTGAAGGTGGTGTGTGTGAACACATAACCTTTGAACCGATACATAAGTGTTTACTTTTTAATATCTAATTCCCTGTTAGAAGTGGACCAAACCAATTTACAATCTGAGACCAGTCACATAATCTAACACTTCTTTATCTAGAAACAATTCAAACTCTCACTGTATTTGAAAGATACTTACTAATAGTGCCAAGTCTGGCTGTCAAATCTCCGACATCACACCGCAGAGGGTTGTCAGCCCCGCACTCCTGGTTGTACAGATCGTGCTGCAATACACAAAGAATTATATAATCATTATTTCTTAAGATTTAGATCAGTGGAAATCCTCTGGCTAAAAAGTATTAGGTCTGCAGTGGTTTTCACTCGCTACCAGATGCTATGTCATAACATTAATCGTAATAATCTATGTATATCTATACAAATAAATAAAATTGGAGTGTCTGTTTGTAATATTAAAATAACCGCTTTTTACTAAATGTATATGTATGTTTACACGGTACATATGCCAAAATAACATTTTTTCAATTTTTGTCTGTCTGCCTGTCTGTTTGTTCCGGGTAATCTCTGGAACGGCTGACCCGATTTCGACGGACTTTCACTGGCAGATAGATGATGACATAAGGAGTAACTTAGGCTACTTTTTTTAGACTAGCTTCCGCGGGTCCGCGGGTCTCAGCTAGTAAATAATAAAAAGCTAACTTAACCTTTCCCACGCGCCCACATTTTAATTTCTGTACACTAAGATCAACACCAGTGACCCAAGGACACGCCGAGTTGCTGTTGTTAGCTTGACTAGTAAAGTCTTAGGCATTAATTCATATGTACCGAATGACCACATTAAGTGTATATCTTTAAAAAATAACTAAACACAAACTCGTCAATAAGCCACAATTCAGCAATGCCTAAAACCAGCACAACTTCTATTTTAAACTGTTTTTTTTTACGGTTTCATTTTTAGATTACATCAGAAAATTATTCCAGCCAAATCACCTTTTCTCCACATTTTGGTACCCCCTACACCAATATAATTGATCCTTATGTTGTTACACTTACATTTAACGGGTCCGCTAGTTGTGTGAAGTAAGGGTTCCACCTGTAGCCGCCAGCGACGCATCTTGTGTTAGTCACTGAGACCGCTGCGTCCACGCCCACGGGATTCACGAATATTGCCCAGTTGTGGTTACGTGTCTGAAATATACAAAAATAATAATTTAGCAGTTTTCCTAAAATCACTTCGTTTTTTTTTTAGTTCATATTAATGTGATAGCTAACGACGTACTATCATTTAGTGATCGCTCTTTCTAGGAGCAGTTTGAATACTCTTTCTTTTTAAATCGTTACTTTATCTACGATGTTTATATTCATAGAATACAGTCCCTGACACTTTATGAACGGTAGACTGAGCGTGTAGTTACAATTCATTGATTTTTTGAATTTTCTGAATGTAATAAAAAACTCCTTATATAGACAGCTACCTGGTAGTAAAATATTAACAAAATCGGTCCAGCCTTTTAAAAGATTACCGGAACAGACAGATAGACAAAAAATATTTAAACTGGTTTTTACGCATAGGTATCGTGCAAATATCTGTGTGAGCATGAAAAAACCTATTATTTTAACATTACAAACAGACACTTCAATTTTATTTATTTGTATAGATATCATGAGTCGTGAAAATTTTTGTAGTTAGGGAACAACTATAAAATTAAAAATGGCGATATTTTATTGTCTTAATCTTCTTAGAACAAGTCCCAGACACATGCGTCACCAGGGCTAATGTTTACCGCTAGCCCCGTGGTATGTCGACATCATGGCAACAAAAACCACACCATATTCTATCGTAGTTGCGTCTGCTGCAGCTATCGTGCTATCTTTTTAATACAAAGACTAAGTACTAACAGTAATCCTCGTTCTGATAATTGCACAGGCAAGTCCTCCGTTCCCTATATAGCCTTGCTATAGGATGCCTAGCGAGCCTGGGCGAGGCTGCATCGATCGGTGCATCGCATGCGCGTCTGCTGTAACTACCCCTGCACCTCTACCTGTGGGTGGAGGTGGTCCCCCTAGGGGTAGTTCTACCCTTGATGTCAATTGAGGGTGTGGGGAGTTATATCCAAAGCTATGTAACTGCGATAGTACACTAGGAACTGGACACTGCTTCGCTCGCTACTGTACAACTTTTAGAACATCAGATTTTCTTTCATCAGTCCTGCTAGGAACATATTATATATATTTATGTTATAGGGGGCAGACGACCAGACGGGTCACCTGATGGAAAGTGACCATCGCCGCCCATGAACGTCTGCAACTCAAAAGTCACAAACACGTTGCCGACCTTTTAGGAAGGAGTACGCTCTTTTCTTGAAGGTTTGAAGGTCGTATAGGTCCGGAAATACCGCAGACGATAACCCGTTCCACAGTTTGGTTGTGCGGGGCAAAAAGTGTCTCGAAAAGCACACAGTAGTGGAGCGCCAACTATCCAGGTAATGAGGATGAAAATTTTGCCGTGTGGAACGATGGCGGAAATTTCCTCGTATCAATGTCCTCCTTCACCACAATAACGCATCCTAACATTCCGTTAAGGTAACAATTACGTTAAGGTAAAAACCTATTTAAATGTTTCAAATGTGGAACTGATGACACATCCGCGTTACAGCTCGTAAGCACTTTTTTTCTGACTGAAAGATCCATACTTCCTGTTGTACATATGTACTTCTGACAAATTGTATGCAAAACTTCATGACTTTCGGTGTAGTGGTGAAGGTTAAAAAACCTAATAAACAAACAAACATACATTCTTATTTATAAATTTTATATAGGAGGATATTTCACCCTCTGTTTTGTAATCGCAGTCCACATCGAGCATCCCCCTTTTAGGTATATACAGGGGGAAGCGCCCGCTGCACCCGTACCTAGGTTCTACATAGGACGCTTACATAAGAGGTAATGTAATGAGTAATGACTGCACGGATGGCGTAGTGGGTTAAGCGGTCACCACGCCACTCACTACTACTTTTTTTTTTAGTTGGGACTAATCCCACCCACACGCTCACCACTGTAACTCCTGTACACCAGGATCCACAGCAGTGACCCACGAACACACCGAGTTATGACACTCGGGAAGTCCCAGGAAGAAATTAAACTGTCTTGGAATCCTCAACGAAATTAATCATGAGAAAATTGGAGGAGTTGGTACAGTAAATCCACTTCCCTCCTTAGCAAAGCTTGAGACAAAATGAAGTAAAATGGGCATACACCCTTTTAAACACGGAAGCACCACGGCCACAAAATATTACGGGTCCTACGTGAGCTATATTTGATTTCTATAATATGTATGGCAGAATCACCTAAACGCACGGAAATTCACCCTAGTTGACACAAGATCCCCATAGTATACCGCCCCAGATGTCACCTGCAAGCTATTCAGCATTATATTACGTTCATTATACCAAAGACATTCCCAGAGCAGAATGTTCATAGTGAGATAGATAGATAGATAGATAGATAGATAACTCTTTATTTGCACACTAAATTACAGAGTTACAAGAAAGGAACACAGCGATCAAATATCGAGTGTACAAAGGGCGGCCTTATTGCTTAGTGAGAGTTAGGTGTTGAGCATTGACATAATGGTGACTCGACTAATTTAAATGAATAAAGCTTGCTCTTAAAGTTACCATGACCCGTAAGAAATTGAGCGACACAGTAATCCACCTCAAGCCATGTCCTCGACAACCGTTCGCGAACAGATGGAAAGAATTGGTAAAGATGGCGCCTCTTGGATGATTCATCCCAGCGTTGTTGCCATTCGTCTATGAGGTCATTATAGACATCGGACTGCTGTTGAAGCAATCTTGTAATTTTACCGCGATCCCGCGCGCCCAAAAAATCGCATTCCATGTTTTGTTGTCTTGAATAGTACATGGCTGCACGTCTCTGCACCTCGAATTCGACCGGAACCACACCCGAAAACACCGGCAAAGCCTCAGTGCTAACCGTCCTATATACCTTGCACAAGAATATCATTGCATAGGATATCCTGTGTTGCGGGTTACTTTTACAAACGGACAGACGGTGTTAAGCAATTCTTTCATTGCCTTTCACTGAGTGAGTGAGGTTACTGGAGCCCAAACCTTAGGTTACAGGAGACTCGAGCGGGAGGGACTCCAAGTGTGACTTTTGAGTTGCGGGTATCCGTGGGCGGCGGTGGTTGCTTACTATCGGGTGACCCGTCTGCTCGTTTGTCCCCTTATACCATAAAAAAAAACACAAAGAACACCCAGACTCAGAATACAATTTGTGGATCACACAAGAATATCAGTGCAAGTCGTTGGCCTTGTAACAGTTTGCGACGGATAGGGCGACCGTAGGCACTTGGAGTCCCTCCCGCTCGAGTCTCCTGTAACCTAAGGTTTGGGCTCCAGTAACCTCACTCACTCAGTGAAAGGCAATGAAAGAATTGCTTAACACCGTCTGTCCGTTTGTAAAAGTAACCCGCAACACAGGATATCCTGTGTTGCGGGTAACTTCTAATACAGGAGTTCTCTTAAAAAAAAATTTTACTTCATAAATTACACATGCACCGGAAAAAATTTGGAAGTAATGGTTTTTTTTTCGAAACTATCAACTCGTTGGCTACTTTTGCAGCTCCAATTCGTCACACCTTTATACAACACCTGTTACTGACATTTTTAGTAATGCGACAGGCCCGTTGGTCTAGTGGTTAGTGACCCTGACTGCTACGCCCTCACCCAGGACAAATAATTGTAAATCTCTCATCTTTCAATTATTTGTTCGGCATGGGAATCGAACCCACGGCCTCAGGTTCACTAACCACTACACTACCAGGCCCGCCCGTTTAAAATGTTTGCAATATTCAGTTGCCATTGTTATTAGTATTGGTTGTGGGATCCGGTTTCCGCATTTTGACGGGCCTGTTGGTCTAGTGGTTAGTGACCCTGACTGCTAAACCGGAGGTCGTGGGTTCGATTCCCACCCAGGACAAATATTGTGTGATGAGCACGGTCATTTGTTCTGTGTCTGGGTGTAATTTATCTATAATATGTATGTATTTAGAAATATATAAGTATGTTTATCAGCGGTCTGGTTACCATAGTACAGGCTCTGCCTAGTTTGGGATCAGACGGCCGTGTGTGAGTGTGTGAGATATATTATATTATTATTATTATTAATAATGGTTCTCTTTATGCGTCGGTTGGCTGGGTGAGCCAAACAAGCTCCCTCCAGAAGCGCAGAAGCCTCCTGGGCGTTCGCAGGCTTCTAGGAGTGATTTCGTATCAGTTCAGTTGCCATAGAAAGATACGATATTTTTTATATACACAACGATACGTTTAAGTGTTAAATCCTTGTTTAATTTTGTCAAATATGCGTGTTAGAAACGCTGTATACTGACAAAGTGTTTTACAAATTAAGTTTACTTTTAAGCTACGAGTATATATTACACTTGTATACCTTTAGTTGATTTAATGTCCTTTGTAACATGTAATATAATTTACTCAAAATCCATCCCGTTCCATCACTCAGTGTGCTTAGTACGCGAGCGCGGGAACACGATCGATGCAGCTTTTACCGGGCCCTGGAATAAGACCTACCTACAGAACTGCACTTACCTGTATGTGCTAATACCTCGTTGGTAAATCTTAGGTTTTACCGATAAATCTTAGGATGTACCGTAGTTCAGGCTTTTACAGTAGCATATGCATCTATACATTTGATTGTTATCAACAATGTTATCAATCCATCAATAATAGAAGCTATGAGGATATTACCTGATCCTGCTAATGATGCTACTCTGTTGCTGTTATGACGTATGTGTAAGAAATAAAATATGACTTTCAATCACAGCTTTGGAGCGTGTGGAGAAAGCCCCTCGAGGAAGTGCTGTACGTCGAAGTCGATGCGTCTAGAACCACATGATGTTCTATCATCCGGCCCATGACCAGGTTCGAGATATATTCTTATAGACAGTAGCTCTGAAACTGTCAAAAATCAAGCAGCAAAGATATGGTGGAGGGGATCCCCTCTCCAGACACCAGATAGGTTGAGCTAATATTATTGCCTCAGTTCAAAATCGTTTCTTTTTTTTGGCTGAACCTAGATTCAGTGACGTATAGTGACAGATGATGCCTCATTTTTATAACAATCAAGATATGACAGATCACTCACTAGGTTAGTATCCCTGACACCAGGGTGCCTCAACTTGACTTCAATGATTGTGTCACTGGCGCTGCCGTCGTTGTGTATGAGCTGCGTCATGCGCACGTAGCCGCGCGCGAAGCCCCCGGGGTGGTGGAAGGACGCGATGGCGCGGAGCTCGCGCGCCTCCGATGGGCTGTAGCCGCGCTCGATGGATGAACATGCCCAGCGACGGTTGTTCTAGAATGTCAATTGTTTCAAATAATATATAGTTCAGACTTGGAACCTAAACCTGAACACATCATCATCAGTATCATTAGCCTTTAACAGTCCACTGCTGGATATAGTCCTCTCCTTAGAAAGGAGGTTTTGGTCTACTATACCACGCTGGTCAGACGGATTGGTATGGAGTTTGCTTGAAGTTTTCCTTGTCTTTGCAGTCCTGATGAGTTTTCTCCCTTAGTCGGCTCTTACGACACCTACAGGATAAATAGGGTTGGTGACACTCCGTAGTCTTAATTTATCACCATCATCATCATCATCATCATCAACAGCGTTTAATAGTCCACTGCTGGACATAGGCCTCTCCTTAGAAAGGAGGTTTTGGCCTACTATACCACGCTGGCCAGACGGGTTGGTATAGGGTTTGTGTCAAGTTTTCCTTCTCTCTGCAGTGCTGTTGTTCTGCGTAGTTTTTTCCGTCAGTCGGCTCTTACGACACCCACGGGATGAATAGGGGTGGTGACACGCTGGATTCTTAATCCGTCACCACACGGACCAAATTTATCACCACATGGACAAAAAACCTAAACACACTCGCGATTAATTAACTGACCTTTCTATGTAGTACAACAGACCGACCCAGGATGCTGTAGAGCCCAAACAAAGACAATTGAGTTTCATTGTATACAGTAGTGAGAGAGCGCGACTCTATCATCCCGTACTTGATGCCCAGGTCTCCAAGTTCGTACTGATCTGCAGTTCCTGTTATAAAAATAAAGATGTCATTAATTCATTTTGTGATAATAAGTTTGTACTTAGAAGTACTTCATTGTGGCAAAAATAGCTTCTTCGTAAGTTTTTAATACAGTCTGACATGATACTTCATCTTGGTATTGATGAGAAAACAATCACCTTTTGCCACTTATTTGAAACTAGCTGACCCGCGCAACTTCGTCTGCGTCTCTCAATAGTAATAAATTTTCTCCGTTTTTGAAACATTCTTCATTGGTGCTCCGCTCCTATTGGTCTTAGCGTGATGATATATAGCCTATAGCCTTCCTCGATGAATGGGCTATCTAACACTGAAAGAATTTTTTAAATCGGACCAGTAGTTCCTGAGATTAGCGCGTTCAAACAAACAAACAAACAAACAAACAAACAAACTCTTCAGCTTTATAATATTAGTATAGATATAGAACCTCTTGCCCTCGTTTACAGTAGTCTCTCTTTATCACCACAACGATCGCTTTAGATGGCGGTAAACATTTATTATCAAATATTGCCTCTTATAATTAATGAATTACCTTTTAATGGTAATGGTAATTTATGAATTACCTTTAAGAGGAGGTGGGCTCAGACTCTTGTTGACGTGGAAAGGATTAAATGTGTCATAAAGCGTGGTCCTCTCGCAAGGGAATTCCAAGTCCCGCTCCACAGGCACCTGAAAATTTCAACTGGTTAGAAATGCTATAATATTACAACCTATTTCTGTAAAAGTAATAATTTTTAAACACGTTCTTAAAAAAAATAACAAGACGGGTTAGAGGGCGGGTGAAGCGTGTGGGTGCGCTCTTTTCAGAGAAAATCCACATACATGTAATTGGCTACAGGCATATAGGCTGGCAAATTTTATCTTATCAGCCTGGATAATTCAATTCCACTAAGTTTGATAAATGATAAATTATATTTATTTCTGTAAGTAAATCTTTTCAGATATTTTTACAAGTTGGACTTTACAGCTGGAAGGAGCCGGCATTTCCTAAGACTCGCTCTGGGAAGAAACGCTGAAACAAACCACAGAGGTGTCTTTTTTTTAAGTCCGTAAACAAAGTTAACTAAAACTGTGCGAGACAGTATAGGGTCTGGGTAGGCCTTTTGAAGAATGGACTATAGTTTTGTCGGCCTGTCCAAACAGACGGCGTACAGGATCCAGCCATCGTGTAGCCTAACCGATATTGGTCAAGATCAGCGACCCGAAGCATGACACAACCGCCAGCAGGACGGATTGAAGAAAATATTTGACACCCAAGGGTAAAAATTATTATAATTTTATACCACGGAGTTTGAAAAACTTGAAGTTTGAACTACTCACCACATGTATCTTGTAATTGTTGACGTCATCGAGGTAGTCCAGCGTGACCTGCACATTCGTGACGTCATACTCTGATTGCTGTGTCATCTCTATCCTGCCTTTCACCGGCGCCGGATTCCCGTTTCCAAACCAGTCACGTATGACGGCCTTGCGACGGTGGAGCCCATTTACTCTGAACATGAAAGAAACTTAGATTACTTTTTAATTTCCTAGACATTTGCCACTATGGAGAAATTGTAGGTAGCCTTGGACCTCTTGGCATATTTTGTAGGTAATAGGTACATAGCACGTTTACTTAAATGTCACCATCTGAACCGACTCTAAAGCAGTACCCGCCCAGAGTTGTTTCATTAACAATAGTTGCTCACATGTCACGCTCCCATGGCATGACTCAGCCACCCAACACTCAGATTCGATTCATTGATTGTATAAAATATTTGATGAATCCTATGCGTAATTAAAAAGCGGGTCTTTTTTCCTTCACCTAAGGGATAAGTATGGCCATTCACCTTATGATTGCAATGAATAGGTGAAATACCTTTATCAAACATACTATATCTATAAATAAGATATTTACTACCAGGCCTATATAAATAATAACTTAGGTTATTTTTCCTCTCAGAAAACCCTTTAAAATTTTACAAGGTCCGCGAATCGAACCCACTAAAGCAGCGCTTTTTAAATTCCACGCGAACGAAGGACAAAAGGTATCACCAACAAGACTATCGTTTCCTCATCGCGACTGCTTTAGTTAAGTCGTGACGTGAAGTTATTTACTTACAGTTATACAGTTCACAATGTTACTCACATAGAGCAGGCCATTCTCTCCCCGCGGGCGACGGGCCCGTGGTCGTCGAATATGACGAGCGACTTCCTCATGATGGCGTACTTGCCCGCCAACGCGATCACACTGTCCGTGAACAGGCGCCGCGTCAGACGAGCAGAGTCTGCCTTCTTGCCGGCCACTGACAACGTACCGTGTCTGGAAGGTTACATCCACAATCAAACTCACAGTATCTTGGACCTGGTTTTTCAACAGTCATTAACAAAAAGGTGTTAATATTATTCAACATTTATTTGTTGGTTTATGATCTCCAATTAAGTTTTTGTCAAAAGACAACTCTCGCTTTAGGATTATATCCTGTGTACTTTACAAACATACATGATGGGGTCACCCAAACTCAGAACAAACAGAACACACCGCTTAAACGACTACGCCATCCGTGCCGCCAAAGTATTTGAAACTTAAATATTACATGTATCTTTCAAACGGCACTTGCCTTTAAAAATTGATATATATCCTATCACATCATTGAACCCTAAAATAAATATATATCCTATCAGAATAACTAGAATATATGTGCTAGCAATGCGAGAAGGACAGCGTTGGGAGTGATATGGGCACAGGTGAGCCCTTACTGTCACTTTGTGTGCTCGTTAGCAGGGTTAAAATGTTAGGTTTATATTCCAAGTAGTTCAAGCCATTTTTTTATGGTATAAGAGGGCAAACGAGCAGACGGGTCACCTGATGGTAAGCACTACCGCCGCCCACCTGCAACTCAAAGTCACAAGTGCGTTGCCGCCCTTGAAGTCCCTCTCGCTCTAGTCAGCGGGAGGAGGGATTTAGGCTCCGGTAAACTCACTCACTCAGTGAAAGGCAACGAAAGAATTGCTTAACACCGGTTTTCTGTGAGGCCGTGGTACCACTCCGGTCGAGCCGGCTCATTCGTGCCGAAGCATATCTCTCCCACGGTAGACTTTAAATAAAGGACTACTTTCCATTGTTTCAGGTTGGATCCAAACTTATTAAGTTTCTTCTAACTCTAGACGACCGGATGGCGTAGTGGTTTGTGTAACGGACTGCTATTCTAAAGGTCGCGGGTTCGATTCCCGCTCAAGTCAAACATTTGTGTGCATGAACTTTTAATGTTTGATTTGGTCTGGGTGTTTCTATGTATAATATGTATGTATTTCCAAAAAAAAAAGAATATATGTATCATCAGTTGTCTAGTATCCATAGTACAAGCACTGCTTAGTTTGGGACTAGAATGAGGTAAAAATAAAATAAAAACTATCGAAAATGCAATCCACTTGACCTAAGATAAAAAGATCCTTGTTTATATGTAAAGGGTTCGAAGGCCAATAGGAACTCAAATGATACAAATATCTTTATCAACAACGATTGATATTTACGAAGGACCAGATTCAATTGTAAATTAACTATATTAAAAATATCGATGTTAAACTAAAAACTTATTCCAGCAACAAACAAGTCTATAATTTATGCTCCTGTCATTTCTTCTCACAACAGAAGTAAAAACACGTCACTATAGTATGTTATTATTAGTGCTTATTTAATACCTCGTAGTGAAGTCTCCCAGTTGACAGAGTCCCTCAAGGCCCGGCCTGCAGTAGGACTCCGGGTGCCTTGTGTCGATGTCCAACAAGTGAGGCTGGTAGACCTGGCCGGCGCTAAGGCAACGAGCGGTCCAGTTGTAGTAGTCAGCCCCCGGGGCGTGCTCGTGAATCGCCCACCGGTGATCTGCTGAGTTGTTTACGTTCGCTCCGTCCGCATGCACCTGTAAGATATAATACTAGCTTAGTAATGGTAACTACTAAACTGTAATCAACCAATCATAGTGGAGTACTATGTTGCAGGCCTTCGTATGTGTTTTCATCACCATCTAACACATACGCACACTCGTGCCTGTTTGCCTGAAAGAAAAGGTAGATGTTTCGATAAAGGTTGAGAAGGTAGTATGGTAAGTATCTCTCGCATCAAGACAACTGCTAACTCAAAGGTAGTCTTTTTGTATCATTTATAGTATGCTAGTAGTACTAATATTATCAAAAGACGTCCAAAACACAACGAGAGGAGACTACTAGTAATGTTTTGTAACCAACTACTTCAGTCGTTGATTATCACAGCGAGATCTCTTCCTAGACTTACAGATATAGTGAAATCCCGTAGTTATAAACATAGATAAACATAATTATACAATCTAATTCTTGTCCGTGTGGTGACGGATTAAGAATACGGATTGTCACCACCCCCATTCATCCCGTGGGTGTCGTAAGAGCCGACTAAGGGAGCAAACTATGCAGAACAACAAAACTGTAAAGAGAAGGAAAACTTGAGACAAACCCTATACCAACCCGTCTGGCCAGCGTGGTATAGTAGGCCAAAACCTCCTTTCTAAGGAGAGGCCTATATCCAGCAGTGGACTGTTAATGGCTGTTGATGATAATGATGATACAATCTATAGTGATGAAGATTTAAAAAAATACAAATCTTTGTCATTGTAACGCTCACGTTCTACCACAAATGAGCCTTCATAATAATATAAGCGGCAAAAATTCCAGAACTGAAACTGTATTCGTTTTAGACACACCCGGTGTAACTTTCGCTTGCCCAATACTAACCATACTCTCAACAATAATGACAGTGTCCTCCCAAGGCCGGTCCTGCGGCTGTCGGAAGACGACGCGACCCACTATCGGATATCTGAAGACCACTTGCGCTGACGCCATCCGGGTTTGGTACTCGGTATCAGCCTCGTAGAGCATTACAGTGCCGCAAACGTCCTGTTTTGGTTTTCGTCTGAATAAGAAATAAATATCCGTTAGCTGAGGGTATGTAAGTACATATGAAAAGAGACGAGTTTTCGATTTCGTTAAAATTCAATTGTGATGGACTTTTAAATTGGAAACTAATACTAACTTGCGTCTTATTAGCAGTTCTTATTCTTCTGTTATGTTTATTTTTTGTATTAAATAGTTTGTCTGAAGACTACCCCACCCTTGATTTATCACAATGAAGACCAAGTCGCTGCAAGGATCAGAGGTTAACTTACCAATGACTCTAAAGTTTTGGTGCAGGTGATACTGTGCGTACGTTAGGAATCTAACGTACTCGTATAAGTACATTTAGCTATCTTGGCTTAGTTAATTTGACTCAAAGGGTAGCTCTGGGTTTTTGTAGCCAGACTTATAAATAATAACCTCACACAACTCACACACGGTCGTCTGCTCCCAAAATATTCAAAGCCTGTACTATAGTAACCAAATTGCCGATAAACATACATATATATTTGCAAGTCATCATCATCATCAACAGCCTAGTAGTCCACTGCTGAACATAGGCCCCACCTTATAAAGGAGGCTTTGGCCTACTACGAGTATACCACGCTGACCAGACGGGTTGATATAAGGTTTGTTTCAAGTTTTCGTTCTCTTTGCAGTGCTGTTGTCCACCTTAGTTTGGTCTCTTAGTCGGGTCTTACGATGGGATGAATAGGGGTGATGACCCTCCGTATTCTTAATCCGTCACCACATGGAGAATTTTTTTAATAAGGAGAAAAAATTCTAAATACATACATATTATAGATAAAATACACACAGACACAGAACAAATGATAGTGCCCATCACACAATTATTTAACCTCTGGTTTGGCGGTCACAATCACAAAGAACTCTGTCATTAGTGCCCGTCAATGTCAATTTGATATTTCTGAAAGTTATTATACACTTGCCTTTGGATCACCATGGCTCTGTGAACTACACTGTGGGGTCCCTGCAGAGGGAGGTAGACATCCCAGTAGGCGCCACTGAGCTCGTTCACCAACCCCGGCAGGAGGTACTTGTGGTTTAGATACTCCGTGCGGTCCTTGTGTTTACCCAGTAAGTCTCCAATAGGGTACTGGTCTTGGGTGCCCATGCCTAAATAAAAATGACAAAGGCGTTATTAAACACAGATTTCTTTCAGAGTTCTGTTAGAGCATTCCTATTAGGTGTACATTATGGGTTCCTCACAAAGTTTTTTGGGAAAATTTCACTCACAGAACTGGAATAGAACAAAGAGGAACACCACAAGGTCCACAACAAATTACTACTAGTACATAGTGAGAGAAATATGATGCATATCACGCGGATGGATGTCTTGGGTTTTTAGCCACTCATCCACCTGTCTGCTTGTTGCGTGTGCTCGGATGATTTAGTTTAGTAGCACAGAATATCGCAAATGAAAGAAGAACTAATACAAATCTACGATAGATATTTTTACGATCTCGACCACTTCACTTTTGGCACTAAAAACTCGTTATTTCCTTAGTTCCGAATCCTAGTGAAATGGGCCTAGGGGTTACAGGATTTACCTCATATGCCAATACGCAGACAGAAAAGAAAACGAGTGTTTTAGCTCTGTTATCCTAGAAACAACCATATTGGATTTGGTTAAAACCTATATTTCAAAATCACAGACAGACATTTCAATTGTATTGCTATGTATTCATATACATCGGTGGGAACATCATACGTAGCGACATAATTAAATGGTTGCATTAATATTTACATATTTGAGTTGCAATTACACTACGATTACTATTTATTATTTTCGAAATGGATTAACTCATCCTCAAACCAGCTCAGTAACATATTGCATGTGCTAGTTTTGCTACGTACTCGTCTAGTTTACACACATAAATCTAAATGAATTTCTCAACATGTGCTCACTAAGAATATTTAATATTTTTATCTTATAGTTACAGATAGAGCCAAGAATTAGGGGGTAAGAAAACGGAGTGGCTTAGAAAAGAAATGCAGTGACCAGGACAACAGAATGATGTAATGATTTTGGCATGGTAAGAGAATGGGCAAAGGACTAAAAGAGTTTATAAAGCCTATGTGTGTGGGTCGGTGCGAAGTCTAAAGATACATAGAAATGTACCGCAGAAGGGCCTTGTTAAAATAGCACCCGTAACCCACGAACGTGTATAAAAGGTTTAATATATGTGCTAGCGCCTCTGCCTACCCTTAACGGCAATGAAGCATGACTATATGTTTATGGATGTATGGATCTCATAATATAATTATTTCAGGTTGCTTGAATTAGAACAAAAGAAACATTTAAGAATATATTTCCGCAAGAAACTTCAACCTCATTGACGGGTTGTGCACAAATCATTGGTATTTCACCGAGACGTGAATATAATGTTGACATGACACACCGGACTACGTAACTCCTATGTACGTCTGTATGTCTCAACAAGATCTTACACGTGATTGCACAACCTAACTAATATTATAAGTGTAAATGTTTATTTAAGTTTTATGCTTCCAAGGCTTCACTATTCAACAATAACTTGTAACCTTTCACATTCCGTGCTATATAACTATGTATGGACTAAAAATCAAGGCACGTTCGTTCTTAACAAATGGACTACTGATATAACATGACTTTTTTTTGGTTTTGTTTTTTTCAATTTCAGACAAAAGTTTTTTTTGACTCTCGATTACGTTTTCCCGAAAAATATTGGGGCGGCCGATATAAAGGGCATCTCCTGTGATCTGCATAGCAATGGATGCTACTAGTTTGCAACATGTGTTTGACTTAAGTCTTGTACCGCAAAGATATCATATTTACATTATTAAAATACTTAATTCTCCACCAAACATTTTGATGCTTGGAAATGTGCGATCTCGCTCAAACACTCGATTGAGTTCGAAAATAGATCCGCTTCGTATGAAACTTTATTGAGAGCAAAATTTAGACGACCTTGGATACAAAGAATAAAGATATTTTTTACTGCTAGTAAGGGAAACGATTATTTTCTAGATATCTACATTTTAACTGTAAAACGTTTTAAATAGGTACTTTATTGTTACTAAGCGACAATTGCAATTAATGTATTTAAAGACCAGACGATCCACAGAATGACAATGTTGCAACATTAACAATCAATTTGGCAGCTCTACTCAACTTTTACTACTTCTATTTGCAGTTTGCAGTGGGACAGTTTTATTACGAACGGTTTTGTATTTTCAACATCGTCTGAAGCAGCAAGAATATAATAATATAACAGTAATCTTCTTTTCTCCATCGTAACTCCCTTTGAAACGAAGGAACTCTTACAGATATAATACCAGACTGAAAGGTTGTATATCTTCTAAAATCTTTCGCCGTCTGACCTCACATAAAACTTTTTTTTTAATTTTTCGAGAATAACAGTTTTTAACGTAGTATTTATTCATATTCACATGTACATTATGTTCGTAACAAACAATTAACAAACAAATTCACTTTCGCTTTTATAATATGACTGAGGCAAAGATTGTGAGACCCTCGAAATTGCATTATCTAAGGAGTAGGATTATCTTATCGTAAGTGCCTACCGCCAAGGTAACCTCTCTTTTTTTTAAGACAACGCCCGCATTTCGAACATGTATTCCTGTGTCGCGGGGGAGTTTACAAACATAACGGACACAAAGAACATCCAGACTCAGAACAACAATTTGTGGATCACACAAAGTGATATCCCATGTGGGGATCGAACCTACACCGCTTAAACCACTACGCCATCCGTGCAGTCAGGTGCACCTTCAACTCAAAAGTCAGAAATGCGGTCTATAAGTCCTTCGTCAAATTATCCTTCGGTAACCGGTTTTCTGTGGTATCAATACGCTCGAGCCGGTCCATTCGTCCTAATCATTGCCCTCCCACAGTTGAATTTTTAGTAATCCAACAAAGAATACAAGGTACCTCTTATCAAAATACATTGTTCCTAAGGGACAGATCTACACTAACGCTAGAAAGCCCACCTCGCTAAAGGTATTTTATCAAGATTACCACAATTTCGACCTAAATTGGTATAAAAATTGTTATTGGAATATGGAAAAGCCTCTTACCTGGTGGTGGAATACTGTTCAAATCCACCCCTGAGGGGTTATATAAAGCTCCAGTCGTATTGCAGAGAATTTGCACGTCTTCAGGTTCCTGGATCCTTGGTGGCAGTTCCCGGATGTAATAATGGGTGATAGAGCTCACGAATCGGAGGTTCGACTCGTAGTCCTGGTCAGCCGCCCCGAGTTGGAAGTTGGTCCACGTCGGATCGAATGGGGAACGCTGATTGAACTCCACAATACCTCTGATGCCGTCCATGTTTATTAGAGCTCTGAAAGATAGGTTATACGAAACAAAATAACATAACGTGTTTTAGGATCACTTGAGAGACCATCGTGTTTTGTGAGTTTGGTAAGTTCCTCGGGTTATCAATCCACCGGAGTTTGCCGTAGGGCGATACGTTGGAATTGTATCGAGTGATACCACACGGTGGGCCATACTGCGCCTTAAATAGAGGCCAGGAAAAGCTCATATTAAGACATCAGGACCATCCCTAGCGCCTGCTCGCAAAAGCTCGAGCAGCACCTTCAGGTACCTGAGCAACTATCTTACAGTAACCTGTATTGACACAGAGCTATCAGCGAAGTCTATCATCTTCTTGTATAATAGGGTTGTGGGAACCTTGGAAGAAAGTAAATAAGAATTCCCCAGCACACAATAATATACCATACCATACCTCGTCTTACACTACTCGCCATTTCAAGAATGTAATGTAGAATAAGAGTTAAATTTGCCTTAAATTGTTCATAAAAAAACTAAAATGAATTATTCATTTTACTTTTCTCTCTCTCTTGTCATTGGATTATGTTCTCTCTGAAGTTCGAAAACGGTCACAAAACGGTCTCCCGCACTAGGAATATATCCTGTGTGGCGGAAGACTTTTCAAACATTCATCAACAACAGCCTTTAATAGTACACCGCTGGACATAGGCCTCTCCTTAGAAAGGAGGTTTAAAACATACATCAAACAGACACAAAGAACACCCAGACACAGAACAACAATTTGTGAATCACACAAAATGTTGTCCCATGTGAGGATCGGACCCACAACACTTAGCGCAGTAGGAAGCGGCGAGGTGATCGCTTAAACCGCTGTACCATCCGTGCAGTCAATATATGATGTATTTAATCATTAGTGTTTTTGTATAATCGTGAATCTTTCAAAGGTTATAATAAAACCCAAACTTAGGCGGTCTTATCGATAACAATCATTTCTACCAAGCAACTTTGAGATGGACTCAGAATTCCTTGAGTTTTTGTGTTTCTCGAAATAGACAAACAAATTGTATGGCATGTCAAATTCTAAACATAAATATAGTATTGTCGTTTCAACTTTGATGAATCTTAGTGAATTAGTCTTCCAAGATTTTATTGAAACAGCATTAAAAAAGTTTTATTACGAATTACTTATTTATACGAGTAAGTGCTAAGAAATACTGTTTTGTCTTGTCTGCCCTCAATTATTTGTCAGTCGTGTAATGATTTTAGCTAAATGTGGCTCAGAGCCCAATACCGTAATGTTTCTAAAAATAGGTAAAAACAGAACACTCCAGTACTTTTCCCTCTATTTGACGACCGATTTTTTGAACAATGCTGTTGTGTAACTAACTACATTCGTAAATAAATATTGGTCGTCAATTTTAACCTAACCTATCCCTCTATATTTCGTACCGAAATTAAAAGATACAGTTATGGTTTGGGATTCTATTTTTTTTAAACAACTCTCGCACTAGAAATATGTCCTGAGTCGCATTACAATACACAAAAGTTAACACGGACACAAAGAACGCCAAGACTTTGACCGGACCAATGACAATATATATTTGATTCTACATGAATGTTTTCACGATGCGACGTAGCTGTTCATTCATCATCACATCAACAGCCTATACTAGTCCACTGCTGGACATAGGCCTCTCCTTAGAAAGGAGGTTGTGGCCTACTATACCACGCTGTTCATTGCTCTTCATTAAAAACTAATAATACATAGGAAATAAGATTTACTGCTAACACTTACTTGGTACTTTTGGGTGGTATCAGTCTTAACTTGGCACATGCCAGAAAACTGTCAGCATGTCTGTTATCATATATCACCACGTACAAACTCCTCTTAGTCACCTCCATGTCATTCCTCAGTACGTTTATCACTTCATCCTTAAACAGAGTTTTGGTCTTCATTACGTTAGCGTCTCTCGCCACCTTGATGAGGCCTAACCTACTGTCCAAATCTCCTACACTCATACCGTCACCGCTATTCTCAGGATCAAACACCAGCTGAAGAACATTACAGTTATCTTCGTAATTTCCTTTATCTGCATCGAAAATGTCTGTCACGAACAACTTCCATTTGTGTTCAGTATATTCTCCTTTATCCGGTACGGCCTTGGTGTGGTACAAGTCTGCCTGGATGTAAGAATCGTAGTCGTCGAACTCACGAGCTGCAAGCCATCTAAAGTTCAACGTTCCCGCTACAGGTGACGTGAATTTTGCTATAGCATTCTTCTCATAGGTTTTATCCGTGGCAACAATAGATGCGCATATTATTCTGTCCCTTTCTGCAGTCTCAAACAAAATACTCTTACCCCAAAGCCCTTTTGGACCTGTAAGCGTCTGTTTGCTTTCATATTCTGCATGATCTTTACCAGGAATAATGAGGTAACCTAACTCTTCTGTGAGATCAATAACTTCTTTACCTAAGTAAGCTTCTGAGCATCTGTCTTTGGATAAATGTCTATAGTCTACTGGAAATTCGTGAATGGCCCATCGCCATACTCCATCAGGGTATTGAAGAGTTGGTTTTAAGTTTGTTCTTATGCTTATAAGGCTATCGTTTTTGTAGGAGAACTCCACCTCGCCGTGGAGGCCATGTTGGGAGAGGTATGCGCGGAGGACTAGACATTGTGATAATTCTGAAAAATAAAAGTTACGTGCTTGTAAATTTTGAATTGCAGTTGATAGAAAAAAAATTCAACCGTTCAACACTACTATCAGCATACCACGGTCAATAAAGCCCCAAGGGGGCCTTTGCCAAATACTAGTGTTACTTTTTAGACATTGGTAACTATCAATAGCAATGTGGTAGTGGTTTGTTATCTTTGTATTAAAATAAAACCGTCTATAAAGTATACATCGCATCTTCAGTAAGACCAAGGCATAAATGACACAAATTAAAACGTTAGCTTTCAAAAACCTAAAGGATTCCAAATGCCCCCTTAATTACAGACACAAATTCTTCTATTAAGTTTAATACTACATGAGGCAATTATGCAAGGCTATAATAAGCATAGCTATACGAAAAAAAAAAAAAAAAAAATTAAAATGACTCCTGTAAAATTACAAAGAGTGCAATTATGCATTTGTCTTGCCGAAGGTACGACATAGAACATGCAACACTTATAAAGTGTTTCCTGCGTGCTACACAGCAATAAAAGAGTAATTCGAAATGACTCAAATGGCTTCCAAAGATTACGTTAACTATGTTGTTGCTTTCAATATTTCCGCATTGCAGAAATTAATTTTGATTAAAGCAGAAACTGAGTTTTTATGTTTTAATCAAAATAAATCAGTTAATGTAAGGAACAAGCAGTTGTCTGTTGTGTGATACTTAAGTTAAAAACACAACGCTCGCTCTGAGCAACTTCTATAAAGCTTAGCTGTTTGTAAATCATATTTTATATTACGAATTGGCGAGTTGAATAGAAAACTATCTACTAGAATAAAAACGTCCCTGGATCGTGCTCATATTGGTAAAGGGCATACGGTTATTGAGTAAAACCGTGAGTCGGTTTTCAGGAAAAGTAAAGGTAATATTTATCAGATATTTACATGTGTCTCACTGACGTTCAAGACTGACCTCCGGCACCACAGATCAGTAACGCCATGAAGCATTTACAGCTACACATGGAGCGGATCAATTGCCTTTTCTCCAGTTTATAAATATAATAATAATAATATATCTCACACATCTCACACACGGCCGTCTGATCCCAAACTAGGCAGAGCCTGTACTATGGTAACCAGACTGCTCATAAACATACTTATATATTTTTAAATACATACATATTATAGATAAATTATACCCAGACACAGAACAAATGACCGTGCTCATCACACAATATTTGTCCTGGGTGAGAATCGAGCCCACGACCTCTGGTTTAGCAGTCAGGGTCACTAACCACTAGACCAACAGGCCTGTCATAATATAACTTTACAATCAAATAACTTTACAGTCAACTCATAACTTAGTTTCAATATGCCGAAGCTGTTATGAAATCGTATTTGTCGCAATGAGTTTATAAACGAGAGCACAGAACGAGGCAGATTACTTGGCGATTGCGCCAGGTAAACTGTCTCGTTCGATGCTCATTATTTGCATTTCCTATATTTTATTACATTACCATATACTAAATTATTATATGATATAAATACTTAAAGAACACTTAGGAGCACGATCATTTAATCTGTGTCTAGGTGTAAATAAAATTATCTGTGATATGTATGTGATTAGAAATATATAAGTATGTTTATCAGCATATGGAATGGGAATATATTAGAATGATCTATGAATTTACTCGTTTTTAGACGAGACAGCAAAATATCAAAACCATTTAATATAAATATTTGTGTGATGAGCACGGTCACTTGTTCTGAGTCTGGGTGTACTTTATCTATAATATGTATGTATTTAGAAATATATAAGTATGTTTATCAGCAGTCTGGTTACTATAGTATAGGCTGGCTCTGCCTAGTTTGGGACCAGACGCCTGTTTGTGAGATTTATTATTATATTTATTATATTATTATTATTATTATTTGTATGAAATCAATGCACAATGCATTCATTTCAATGCTGACTTACAGTAATTGTACTAAGTAATCTATATCTAATTGTACTTCTATCAATGTGTCAAGCTATATTGGGCACTGTTATGAGAAGAAATATTTCATCTCATCTGATATGTACACAAACGGTAAAAGTTTGAAAATATCCACTTTCCGTCCATTCGTCTACGCGTTACTTTATTTTGTTTACACATTATTGACGTCCGAATTGTCCAGCTATGTGGTTTGGAGACTCAATACATGTGCGGTGTGGACAAACCTGTATCTCAGGACGTGATCATAATGACAACTAGTTTGTAAGCTTGTTCTCAGAAAAGCCTTCAGACGAATTGTTTTTAATCTATTTTCGTTTGGAAATACCAAGAATTGGTAAATCAAATATTTATTACATCGCTTCCTTAATTGGGAGACATATTTAAGTCAACATAAGACTGTCATTTCTATTTTCTATATGATTCTTTCACAAAATTATATAACATGGAATGTAAAAGCTGATAAACTTATAACACGAGATGTTTTCTTATGCAAATATCTAGCAATCAATTGATTGATATTAGAGAAATTGTACACATATATATCGTACACCCTTTTTTTTCTGTGCGGAAATCCCCTGGGATACCACCTACCCGTAGCTATGTCAGACTTGAACCGACTAAAAGCCGCACCCCGTCTCGGGTACCAGTAGCCGGGGAACCAGGTGTACCCTAAGAAGAAAATCTCTGGTACCATGACGTACCTCAAGCCATCTACGACGGGTAGATGACCCCCTCCTATGTGGGAGCCCCCATGTTCCCTTGGCTATATCGTACACCCTCATCAACATCAACAGCCTATAATAGTCCACTGCTCGATATTGGTCTCTCCTTAGAAAGGAGGTTTTGGCCTACTATACCAAGCTGGCCAGGCGTGTTAGTATAGGGCTTGTTTCAACTTTTCCTTCTTTTTGCAGTGCTGTCGTCTAGTAGTTTGCTCCCTTAGTCAACTCTTACGACACCTACGGGATGAATAGGGGTGGTGACATTCCGTATTCTTAATCCGTCACCACACGAATATCGTACGTATCGTATCACATACCTAGACACGGTACGTATCGTACACCCTAACAGTCATAAATACATAAATTATTACTAATAATTATTTACACAACAGCTACTGCTTTGGGAATCAAATGCTACTCGTATATTATTATGTTTATACAACTTGCCAAACGGCCGTCTGATCCCAAACCAAGCAGAGTCTGTACTGTGGTAAACAGATTGCTGATAAACATACATTTTTCTAAATACAGATATATCCTTATATCTGCCAAAAAATCATTATTACATAATGAAGTTCCCCGGCCGAATGTCTGTCTGTATGAACGTGATAAACTAAAAACAATTAAACGGATTTTTGTACGGTTTTCACCAATAGATAGTGTGATTCCTGAGGAAGCTTTACGTGTATTCATGATGGTTTTATGTAAATTGACTAAAATATAACGCTTACTGTTGAAGGTGTCGCAAAAAATCTTATGTTATAAAAATTGGGCGATAAAAGGATCACGGTTACCTAAATCCACACGGGCGAAACTGCGGGCGGATGCTAATTATACATAAATATTAGATTATTAAATATTAGATATTATACATAAATATTAGGCACAGAACCTTTACTTGTTCTTGAACCCACGACCCCAGGCATTGCAGTCGGGATCAGTAACCACTATTCCAACAAACCAGTCAAATAAATAAATTTTCTTTAAACAAATAATTAATTATATGCTTTGATGTTTATATTAATAGAATATTGTAATTCGGGTGTCTCATTTAAACACCCACAATAAGATGTGTGTGTTACAATACATATACGTAAGAGCATAGTCCAGATAACCCTACGTAACAAATGGCTTCCCTCTTCTCAAGACTCAAATGAAACTCTGAATCTAACCTATATTAGATCACAACTACTTCTTTAGTATTTCCTGATAAACCATTAGAATAATATCAATCCTTTCCTAGATAAGGACGTTATTTGATGATCAATGATGGGAAAGTAACAATTACACGTTCATCATCATCATCAACAACAGCCTTTAATAGTCCACTGCTGGACATAGGCCTCTCCTTAGAAAGGAATTTTTGGCTTACTATACCACGCTGGCCAGACGGGTTGGTATAGGATTTGTTTCAAGTTTTCCTTCTCTGGGCAGTGCTATGTTGTTTGCTCCCTAGTCAGCTCATACGACACCCACGGAATGAATAGGGGTGGAGACACTCCGTATTCTTACTCCGTCATCGCATGGTAAACTACATTACTAGTATTAATTAAGACGCCATTACACTAAAGTTTGTGTTTAAGTGCTAGTGTTCCTTCTCTTTCTCCTTTTCAACTGTATTGCCGCAAGTTTTAACACTATCTAAGCATTCAATACTATAAATGTATACTTAATAAGTGATTGCGCCTATTAGGTTCTGCAGAAAAACTTATAAATATTTCCTTAAAGCAAATAAGTTTTGATACAAGTATTTAAATTACAACTTAATAGGTCACTATTTTGCATAAATAGTACATAGTGGTTTTGGTAATTCCATCAAAACTTTTGTAGGTATTATTTTAACTATAAAATCATAGTTATAGCATAGTAAAATTATTTCTGTTAAAAACAAAAATATTCTCCTACTGATTTCTAATCGCGCATTTATAGTCCCTGCTCCGCTCGTAAGGGTCTTGGCTTGATGTGACTAGTTCATCATCATCAACAGCCTATAATAGTCCACTGCTTGACATAGGCCTCTCCTTAGAAAGGAGGTTTTGGCCTACTATACCACGCTGGCCAGACGGGTTGGTATAGGGTTTGCTTCAAGTTTTCCTTCTTTTTGCAGTGCTGTTGTCCTGTGCAGTTTGTTCCCTTAGGCTTCGGCTCTAGACTAGTTCACAACCTTCCTTAATAAATACGCTATACATTACAAATCTGGCTAATAATTACAGAAATAAACTCTTTCAAACAATAAAACACAGAATAGCTTTTTGTATTAGTATAAGTAAAGAATGAATAAGACCAAGTGGCTTACCAATAAATACAAAACTAATGAACACATAACAACACAGTCTATTGAACATTTTCTCTTTATCACTTTATCATTGTACACAAAACGTAGCACTGGTTTCTCTTAGACAGTGAAAGGTACTGATTGACTACAACAGTACAACTCAAGTACAACTTAGCTGAGACAGGTATACTGTGTGAAAGAGAAGGGAGACTAAGTGACGTGCGCCCGCGCAACTAAATCGCAACTTAGTGGAATTTGGTAGTTCCGTTTGTCATGGTAAAGTTCTGAAGTGAAGGTAAGTTTTTAAATACATGTAATATGAGTAATAACTATAAAGTTAACTATGTATTTATAAAGTACATAAAGACTACGACTAGTGCCTATATTAAAAAAAGTTACAATTCCCTAAAGTGTACGGTATGTTGATCATGAATTGAACCCACGACCTTTAGTTTACCAGTCAGGATTATTAACGAATAGAACAACAGGTCCATATAAAGAGTCATATTGGTGGTCCTTGAAGCTTCGAAATCTGATTAAGGCATTTGCCTGACATTAGTTTGACATGATCGATTTGTAAAGGGTTCGTTCCCAGAAAAGCAACGAAATGGTGACCGGTGAGAAATGTATTGTGTAAATACGTAGGCACTATGAAGAACATAAAGGACAGAAGACGTTCTTGTTTAGGAAATCCGAAGTAACCTTCGAAATATGAACTAGACTTGAGTGTATCATAAATAATACAAACCTGATTAATTGATTGATTCTGTAGTTTTTTCACGTTTAGTAGCAATTCCATTACCTAAAGTGAGGATATTGATTGATTTCTAATGGAAACTATCAACCAGTACTAGAAGATTTGAATCACAACGAAAAAAAAACATCTTTATTACATAATTTTCACACAATTGAAGAGTTTCATAGAGTCTCTACTACTAGTAACGTGATGGGGTAGTGTTAGAAATCATACGCGAAGCTATAAATTTATCACTGGCGATAGCGAAAAAAGAAATAACAACAAACATACTAACATCGCTTTTATAAAAGAAGGCTCAACGAAAAACACTTTACAAAAACCGTTCTCAATTATAAATACCGCTAGTGAGTGGACATTATTAGTGGACACATGAAAATCATTACGGTATACCGGAGGGTATCTGTGCCTCGGCGTCCAGAACAGACATATTTCTTTATGCAATGTCAATTAAGTATGTAGTACTAGTAGAACTCACGGTACCGTGGGAAACAAACATCCCTGAAGATCACGCTTTAAAAGAAACAAATACTTTGACTTAACCAACTTAACCGACTTAAAAATGGTTACTGCGTTCCGTTGTGTTGTGAGTGCGATTGGTATATCAGCAAAATCCCTCTATAACCTGCTTAAAGACCTTGGATTGCCCAAAACATTCAGTAAGCTCTTTTCTTGAACGAATATCCGAAGCGGCATTCTAGGTTCGTATCAAATATATAGGTGAGCGCTGACACGTCGCAAGGAGTGCTCCATAAACCTATTCCAGGGTCGCAAATCCCAGTCGCTGTCGAAGTCGCATGTGCTGCCGCCATCTATCACGCGATGGACCCGGCACCCGCACGGTGAATCCATTGAACGCTAAGAAATTGGTGTTTTCAATTCATCATAATGAAGGTCTATTAAAATCGGTGATACTTAGAATAAGTTAATTATACGAATCACTAAAAGGTTCAATAATAACATCAAGTTATTTTATTGTATACTTATACATACTACCTATAGCTAAATTAAAGAGATTAACGAAAAATAATTGTATTATTTGTATTAATGTAAGGTTATTAACATTTTAAAAGCAATAAAATCATTGCAGTCTCATGGACAAAGAGGTGCATGGATATGACCGTTGGTGGACCGAGTTGGTTACAATTTTTTTTAACGAAAATTTTATTTGTTTATAAAAATATTATTTTATTTGTTTACATATTTACTAGTACTCTTATTATTCACAAAAACACTCACAAATTACTTATAAGAAGAATACAAATGCTTCATTTTGTTATTTTTTATATTTTTTTTGTTGTTTCTTGTAATTACGCTGTAAGACGATTAAATATATTAATTGGTACTTATATTTTGTGGTTCTGATAAATCTTATTTATGAAAATGAATGTTTGTTTTTTCATTCACAAATTGTGCTCTGTCTAGAACAAGTCTATATCGGTAGTTTTGGATATACAGAAGCAAGTTTTAATACCTTTTTTTCACTCAGACTCAAACTCAAACACTCTTTGTTTCATAATTTTTTTTTAATTGTTTGAAATCGTGTTTTATGTAGACTCTAAAGTTATAAGATCAACACACACAAAAGCAACAATCTCTGTTTTGTCAAATAGTAAACAAATAAATTTATATAATAATAATAAGATGGCTTCTTAATACACACAATATAATAATCAATAAGATGGCTTCTTAATTCCGATTTTACTTTATTTGTCAACAATGCTTATGTTTTCTAGCACATACATAAATAAATAAATTGGTTGCATTTATTTTCTAGAACTATACTCTAGAATACTATTACTCTAGAATATTGCTGGTACGTTCAAGAGTACGTCGTGGTAGTAGTGGTCGTCACCTTCCGTCATCATCAACAGCCTTAATTTGTTCACTGCTGAACATAGGCATTTCATTATTAATATATAATTAATTATAAAACTCAATACACGAGTTAGCGGAACACGTGCGCTATAAACACAACATGAATAAAATCCAGTTTTTCTATATTTGGATACCGGCTCACGCACAGAACTCGGTTGATCTTTATTTATAAACGAACTCAAATTATTTAAGACAGAAGAATGGTGGAATAATAAAATGTACCTTATTTATAACATCTTGTTAAATAGGCGATTGCGCGTCATAACCTACCTACCTAACCGATATCTCGGAACCTACTAGCCCGATTTAAACAATCTTAGATTGTGTTTAGGGAATGTGGTCTGCATTCTCTCTCTATGGTAATTCGCGGTAGTTTATCTTTGGCTATTATGAGCTTTAGGATTTATAAACATGGTGTGTTTGCGTCATCAATTGCTATTTCTAAATGATTCGAATCTTTGGTTTAAATCGGTCCGAAAGGAACCACACAGACTCATAAAAGGTACAAAAACAAATTGTTTCTAATAAGATAGAAAAGACAATTATTTTTAATATCTTTTTATAAATGTTTGTACACCGACTGTTAATAAAGCTAGAAAGTCGATCTGACCTAGAGTTATTTATAACCTAAAAAAGTTAAATTCGCTTATAAAATAGTCGTATTTTGAATTCAAATCTCTCTGTTTTTAACTGGTCTCTGTCGTTCCGTATCTTGCATCCTCCATGTTCCTGTATCCGCATTTTTCTAAGTGTTATTTATTAAGTAGTGAAATGCCTAATACAAAGTTGAATCAAAAAGCATGTCTTCATTTCATGTGGATATCAAGAGTCTTACTACAGTCAGTTTTAAAACAACCTGACGAATTTAATGGGACTTACGGCGAGTCAGAGGATCCTCCTTTTGTGTTGGAGGGACACAACACCCGTTCCTCCACAGATATTACATTCATTTAAATTTGTCTGATGTTTCAACCAGAATGCACTGTATTTTACGTAATCGCGTTTATTTCCGTTCGTATAAAAAATTCTAAACTATTATAATTTCTCTGAACTCTTAAGAAATACACAGATATAAGGCAACCAGTCGAATTTAGTCAAATTATATTGCAGTATCTAATTATTGTTCATTTTTTTGTTGGTCGTACTTCTAAGTATTAATAATTCTTTTTGTAAAAAGAATATGTTTTTTTTTGCAAAATTGCCAACCAGGTGTCTCTATGCTATAAGAACTATTCGGAGATTCCGTCATCGAGATCATCAGAGTATTGCATTGTATTGCAGTACTGCAGTATAAAAAACCTAAAACAATACATTTTTTGTTGGTCGTACTTCTAAGTATTAATAATTCTTTTTGTAAAAAGAATATGTTTTTTTTTGCAAAATTGCCAACCAGGTGTCTCTATGCTATAAGAACTATTCGGAGATTCCGTCATCGAGATCATCAGAGTATTGCATTGTATTGCAGTACTGCAGTATAAAAAACCTAAAACAACACATACAAGATATATATACTTCCACAGTTCCACCTCGGTACGTCGCGAGAGCGGTAATAACAGTTAAAATACAATAGCCACTATTATATAAAGTTATGTTTCACACACGTCCAAGAAATTGTCGACCTTCGTATCCCTATGAAATAATCGCGTGACGCATGCGCACCCGCATCGCTCCGCTGTTTTCTACTATTCCCGGCCGCTGACTCACTCGCGCTGAAATAAGGTCATTGTAATCCACACCACCGTATTGTAGTTCGATTCCCGGGTGCGCTGTCAGAAGTTCATCTTGTCACATCATGGCTTGTAACTTGGCATGGTTGTACTCATTAATTTGATATAGATTTTATTATTTATTTTAATTTCACAGTGATTGACCTTAATGCCCGTCTGTCCGTGTAGTGACGGATTAAGAATACGGAATGTCACTACCCCAATTCATCCCGTGGGTGTCGTAAGAGCCGACTAAGGGCGCAAAACACCAGCACTGCAAAAAGAAGGAAAACTTGACACAAACCCTATACCAACCCGTCTGGCCAGCGTGGTATCGTAGGCCAAAACCTCCTTTCTAACAAGAGGCCTATGTCCAGCAGTGGACTATTAAAGGCTGTTGATGTGATGTAATGATGACCTTAATGCGTACATCATTTTATTTGTAAAAGAGATTGGTGTCTGACGTAAGAAGACCAGATCACCAGATTAAATAAAATTAATATGTAATAACAACTGTACTACGGTAACCAGACTGCTGATAAACATACTTATTTGTTTCTAAATACATATATATTATATATAACTTACACCCAGACACAGAACAAATGTTCGTGCTCATCACACTATGGTTTGTCCTGATACATCTTAGCAGACAGGATCATTAGACGAAAAGGCCCGCTATTGCTGCAGTATATGTATTAGTTGCGAGAAAGTAATGAGAACATAAAGTAA